ATCTCTGTTTAGGATTCACCAAACAGTAATGTCAACATCTAGTCTTCTCTAATAGTTTCTGAGCCTTTGGAAGGGAAGGTCTGACCTTCCCCTTTGCATTCTGATTGCCTAGTCCAGTGCCTGATGTTCACAAGTCAGGCACTCACTATAGGTGTGTTAAATAACTGATAAGAATGAAGGTGCAGACAAATGGGTGTGCTGGGGTCATAGGGTAAATTTTCTTAGATGAAATGGGGCTCAAACTTGATTTCAATGAATTTAGGACAGGAAAGAAATAAGGCTGATATATTAAATAAGGGACAACGTGAGCACAGATCAGAAGGTACATAGTATCTTCTGGAGAGATTTGGGTGAAAATATCCAGCAAGTAGTTAGAGATGTAGGACTGGTGGTCTTTAAGGATGTCAGTTTCCAAAATATAGTCTTAGGAAAATTGGAACTCATATGGCATAAGGGGATGGTTTTCAAAGTGTGGTCCATGGGACCAGCAGCATTAGCATCATGTGAGAACTTGTTAGAAATGCAAATTCTCAGGCCCCACCCCAGACCTACTGAATCAGAAACTCTGAGGCAGGGCAATCTGTGTTTTAACAAGCCCTCCAGGTGATCCTGATGCACCCTCAAGTTTGAGAACCACTGGCCTAGGGGGTTAAGAGCGTGGACTCCAGAACCAGAATACTTAGCTGTGTTACCTTGGGTAAGTTACTTAACCTCTCTGGGCCTCAGTTTTCTTATAAAATGGAGATAGTAATGGCACCTACCTGCTAAGGTTGTTGTGAGGATTAGGACAGTTTATATATAAAATGTTAGGTCACAGTAAGTGATCTCTTTCTGTTGTTTTCAATGAGAATCTTTGGAGCACAAATTCTCACAGAGAGCCTAGAGTGAGAGAGAGAACTTGCTACTCAATGTGTGGTCCCCAAAGCAGCAGCAGCCACTGCAACATCACATGGGAGTCCTTCAGAAATGCCGAATCTTAGGCCCCTCCCCACACCTGCTGTATCAGAATCTGCATTTTACAAGTAGGTATTTGAGTAGCAAAGAGGTGTTATACAACTCAACTCTAGACCCACCAAATAAGAATCTTCTGGGAGTGGAATCTACATATTGCCATGATTTCTACTATTGATTCTGATGTTCACTAAGGATTGAGAAACCCTAGTGAATTTAGGACAGCTGATTTCCATCACTTGACCAAAACTCAAGCACCTGTGTTACTAATGTTGGCAGGCACTAGGCATACAAAAGACAGCATTTATTCTAAGAAAAGCAGGTTGGTATGGAAGAATGCCAAATAAGGTTGAAAAATAGCTAAGAAATTCACCTTGTGTTCTGTAGTTCTTTTGCATAATTTTTGTATTAGTTCATTTGGTAAGAGATCATTGAATGAAGTTTCTTTATCCAGGTGGAAATGACCAGTTGGGGCTTCTAAAATCCATTTTAATGAAAAATTATTTTGGAAATCATATTTCAAGATAGCAAAAGCCATCATCACTTAAAGCATGCCTTTGGCAAAACTCTGCTATTAAATCTGTATTAGAGTAAAGTAAGAGGCCAGCATTCTTTATGCAGCTGAGATACAGGGCTGAGTTGATACAGGAATTATAAATCTAGGAACAAAAATATTATAAAACAAATTAACCTCTTAGAACTCTATAAACTCTACTGCAAAAATTGACAGCAGCACATCTAACAGAGTTTATAAATTGAGTTGCTCCTGAAATCATCATCTTATCCCTTATCCAGCACCATTATGTGTGGAGCACTGGGTATACTGCTGGGGGTACAAAGGAATATAAGGTAAATATTTTTTTTCTATGATTACCCCAGGCTGAAATATTCTTTTCTCTCTCTAAACACTGAATTGTGTACTATGTAATTCTTTGACGATTATATACTAGAGCGTTGTGATATTTTCTTTCTTAAATTCTTGAATTGTTACTCAATATTTTGTAACTTCTCATGTCTTTATCATGTATCATGTATCTCCTCACTAGAATAATGTAGTTGTTCCACAGACTCAAGGCAGGCAGTAATCTATGTGAAGACCAGATTACTTCAAGCTCACCCTCACTTTCTGGAGGTAGCTCTTTGGAGATTCAACCATAAACTGGAAGTAATTTGCCAAATCCTCTTCCTTGACAGAAGATTATGACTTTTTTCCTCTAGCCCTATTGGGTTGCCGAGTCAGCCTCTCATCTGTCTCTTATAGATGAGCATATGCTCTGAAGCAGAAGTCCCAGCATAAAGGCAAGGGAGAAAAAGTAACATAGAACAGGTGCACATAACTAGGATGGTATTTAAATAGAAAAATATCAGTAATTACATTAAATATGAAAAGACTAAATACTGTAGTTAAAATTCAGAGATGATCAGATTGGATTCAAACCCAAACCCAAACCCAAACCATATGATTTTCAAAGACATGGATCTAAAACTAAAGGATATGCAAAGATTGAAATTAAAGGAACGGAAAAAGTTCTAGCATGCAAGTGCTAACCAAAAGAAAGCTGCTGTAGCAAGATTAAGAATAGGAAAAATAAACTTTAAGGCAAAAATCCTTGCTATAAATAGTCACTTCATAATGATCAAATATTTAATTCACTACAAAGATATAATTATTCTAGATTTCTATGTGCTCCTGAAACATGACCTTAAACTATGAAAGCAAAATTAACAGAATTACAAGGAGAAATGGACAAATCCATAATCATAGGGGGAGATTTTCACATTTCTTTCTCAGGAATAGAACAAAAGAACACAAAAATCAGGATATAGAATGTTTGGACAGCATGATTAATAAGCTTGACACAGACACAGCACTCAAATCAAGACCTTGTTAGGTCATCCCCTTATTCCTGTGGAAGAACACATATTTAGGGTCATAAGATCTCTTTTACCTATCCATTCCTCCATTTGGATCACACCTGCAAGCAAGGGTAGGAAAAAGCCTACAATACAGACCTATTTCCGTCTCACTCAAGAGACATCTTTGAGCTGATATGCACCTTGTAAAATTAATTTTCATCCATCCCTAATCCCATCAGTTTGGTGCTAGTATCATAGATTGTATTCTTTCCATTGCTTAGTTCTGTGAATTGACTTTGATGACAACTATCTTATGGTCTAAACTTATCGCCCTTCTTGTTAGGACACAGAAGTTAAAAGTATTAATTATTTTTTAAGTTACAGCAATTTTGTTATTTCTGTCAATCTCATGCGCAGGATTTAGGGGACTGTTCAGGAGCTCTATTCAGACTGTTCAGACCAAATAGTGCTACATAAATATGCAAAATTACTATGAAAAACATCTTTGGATTTAAATGAAATTGACAGTGCCTTGCCAATAGTAAGTATTCTGCAAAATGAATGGTACATATTAAATGGGTATTTCTACTATAAAAGACAATACCTTTGGGAAAATAGTACTGCTATCTTAGGAGCAAGAGGGGTAGTGTGTGACAACACTGGGAATGAGAGGGACAATGGAGGAACACTTGATAATTTTTTGAAGAAGAATTTTTTTAATCTCTCTTTTTAACCTTTTCCATACATGTCTGATCAGTTGTCCATACCAGAGCAATTTTCAATATTCTGTTAGAGAATTGCCTGTAATAAGAAGTATTTTAAAAATATGAAATGGCTTTTCTTCTTTAGAGTGAAACTAAGACTCAATCTGATATATAAATTTTGCTATGCCATCATCTTTATTACAACAGATATAACTCTTTTAATCAATATAGTACATAAAAATAAGTGAGACAAAGACATTTGGAGGAATTCCATTTATTGTGGATGCATTTTCACAATATATATTTATTGCAGCGATCAATTATCAGTGAAAAATATCAAGTGTTTATAAAATTTTAGGAATGGCAGATTCACAGAACACGCTAGTCACCTTGCAATTTTACCTCTTACACATAACAGAGAACTGTAATCAAACAAGTAAACAAGGAATTTATTTTTCAAAAGATTAAATCCAAACTGAACAAAATTCTACCCTAAAACTTATTCCATTCAAATGTTGGAATAAAAGCTGGGATTGATATAGTCTCCTCTTAACTTTAGACTTTCTAGAAAAAATGTATAATAGTGATCAGGAGAAGCTCTTATTCAAAAGCACAACAAAGCAACGTTACCTCGCCAAAGGCCTTAATTCAAACCTTGATCCATTTCACTTCAATGATGGGAGTCAATACTAAATCGGGCACTGCATATGAATTCTAGTTCATCTTGTCATAGACTCATGTCTACTCTGTCATGGGTGGATGACTTGTGCAATCTTGGTGGCTTTCCTTCCTTTGGCCCAACTGTGCTAAAAGCTAGAGAATTCAACTGTTCCTTACTGATTTATGAGGAAAATAGACTTTGGAAGGCACTGGTCACTCCTCATGCCAGCACTGCCCTGGCTAGCACTTCCAGGAGAATACTGTGGATTAGCAAATAGTCATTTGGGAGGCTCCCTCATTGTGGTAGGAATTGAGAGTAAGACAATTTTGGTTTGAGAGTAAGACAATTTTGGTTTGAGAATAAGACAATTTTGGTTAAGTCAAATGAGGTATAATTTTATATAACTACACTATATGTATATCTCTATGCTAGAACATATTGCCAAGACACTAGAATACTCTTATCATCTATTGTGAAGAACAGATGAACACTTAGAAGCTAAAATAAGATCTGATATTTGGCTTGTGTGTGTAAAACTGATGAGTGGATAAAGACGGCGAAAAAAGTAAAACTAGTAAAAGTTACATATATTTTTTTGAAAGTTCAACATGTTATCAATTTATGACAAGTACCAGTGACTAAAAAAAGTAGAAAAGTTTCATTTAAAAAATGTTTCAATATATTAAAGGTGGAAGTATTGTCATGACTCCTAAAAACTGGATTTTGCTCACTTTTCTTCTTTGCTTCCAGACATTAGCCAAAGTTGGTCTTTGTATACCCATACATGGAATTCCAATCTGTACAATCTTGTCACTAAAATTCTTGTCTTTAAATTTTAGAGAAGGAAGAGACCTCAGATATTATCTAAGCCAACCTACTGTGAACTTGATTGTTAAGAATGAAGTTTTGAGCAAGCTTTGAGTTTGACCCAGATGATAGATTTAGTAAAATTCACACTGGACTTCAAGATTGCTTTTAATTCTAAACTAAATACTATGTTTTATAGAAAATGTCAACTCATTTTGACACTTCTAATCTCTCTTTTTTCTTACAGGTTATCGGGGATTGGAAACATATCAATACCTATTCTGCCATGTCTCTATTGGCAAATATGAAATATTAATATAATATTGTGATTTTTAATTTTTAAAAAGCTGTGATATTGGCTAGTTACAATGACATATTGCTAAATATAATAGTCTAACACATAAAAAAGCTTTCTACCATTCGTGTGTTTGTATACGTGTATGCACATACATACATCATCAGGTCATCTAAAATGTGGTTCACTATCACTACCAAAGAAATCCACAAAGCAACCAACCTAAAGAAATCAGTACCACTGTCAGCTAACATCATAATCCAATTTAGATATTCATCAGCATGAAAAAAGTAATACCTTAACAGTACATTTTTTTTTAAAGACAATCACTATTTCAGGATCTCAAATCTGAAACGGTTTACTTTCAGAAAGTGTTACAATTGCCTACGAAGATAATTTCTTCCATGCTTTATTCTAAAGTGCAGAAACAACATGACTTCTGTATTTAAAATTAAAAAATAAAACCACTACGGTTTGTTTTTCTGGATACTGCACACATTCCTCAGGCAATTTTCAACTCGAATCTCCTTTTGTTGACTTTCGATGTGGCTGGTATCACTGTTCAGACACAGAGTTATGATGATCAGTAGAAAAGTCTCTATTTCACAGCATGGGTTTCTTTAGAAACAGGCTCCTGTGCAAAGGCAGTACTTTTACCATGAACATCTCTAGACTGTGATTATTAAATATAGTGATAATATACATAGGTTTACTGGGATAATGAAAAATAAAACAAAAGGAAATGAGCTCAATTTAGTAAATCAACATAAATATAAAACAGAGCAAATCAGCCCTCTTCAGTGAGCTGGTCCAGCATCTTGAGTGGCTACTTTGGGTTCTTTCTTGAACTCTCTCAAACCTGCTAAGAGAAGAGAGCTTTAAATTGGCAGGCCACAGTGTTTCAGCCAGATGTTTTGTGTCAGAAGAAAAAAAAAAAATTATAATATGGCAGGAATAAGTATTTATGAAAGGGAGATTATTGGTATTCTGTTCAAATATGCTCCTCTTCTTTTAGTCTATATTTTCTTCTGTTGATTTTTTCACTTTTCTATTTCTTTCTTTCTCCTTTATGTTCCCCTTTCCCTGCCTTAACCTTCAGCCTTGCTCATGGCATTCAGAGTCAAGGAGGTGTTTTTTTTCCAACTCCACTATAAGGGCCAGGAATCTATAGTGTGCATTCCAGAACAGGCACACCTGATTGAATGGCTCAGTCTCGGCCACGTCAAGTCACAATGGCGAAGTGCAGGATGTTTATCTTTTGTTTTCTCCCATTTTTTATTTCCTCCCTCCTGTTCTTACACCCCTACCCTTGAAACTTATCTGACCCATAGTCTTATTCATATACCATTTATTTTCCTTAGCTAGCTGCTAAAAATCCTTGCTGAGGTATTCACGAAAATTAAAGTGTTGTGAACTTGCATTTTTAAATGTGTATTTTCATTTCAAAGGAATGACTGCGTGGCGGGTGGTGAGCTTGACATTTTGGAGCAAAGGAGCTACATTCTTGCCTACCTCCTAAACTCAGTGCTGGGCCTGGTGGTTATCTTCCTATTATGACAGTACAAAGAGTTTCGTGGCACAGACTGAGGAGGGAGGTGCGTGTGAAGGCTCACCCTGTCACCTTCCCACCTTGTACCACCATGCTGCACAGCTCCAGGGAGTACCATTCACACTATCTCGTATGGGAGTGGTGTTCTCTTGAGTCCTACCACTGCAGATTGTATCTTTACTCCACTTCCCAGAACCCTGGCTTGGAGGAATGTTATCCAGAGGGACCCCGTTATACCTGTGATGATGGACTATGGACAGCTGACATCCCCTACTCAGACACGAGACTACATAAACATTTGGACTGTCATTTCTGAAAGGTCAGAGACTTATGCTAGAAAGCCATAATGGCTTAGGCCAACAAAAGTTCATTCTTTTGGGGGCTGGCCCCATGGTGTAGTTAAGTGTACGTGCTCCACTTTGGTGGCCTGGGGTTCGCAGGTTCAGATCCCGGGCCTGAATCTACACGCCACTTATCAAGCCATGCTGTGACAGGCATCCCACATATGAAGTAGAGGAAGATGGGCATGGATGTTAGCCCAGGGCCAGTCTTCCTCAGCATAAAGAGGAAGATTGGCAACAGATGTTAGCTCAGGGCTAATCTTCCTCACCAAAAAAACAGTTCATTTTTTTTAAAGAAAAAAAACTAAAACCAATTCCTCTATCCCCTTCCACCAGGAGAAAATTGTATAAGGAACTTTAAAACTTTGTATTTTCTGCTGAATATGCAATCCTCCAAAGAAAGCAGCATGTATAATGGTTAAGAATGCAGGTTCAGATCAGGCTGTCTGAGTTTCAATGCAGGCTTTGCTATTTATTTGCTGTGTGGCTTTGGGCAAGTTAATTTCTCTGTGTTTCATTTTCCTTAGCTCTAAATGGGGGTAATAATAATCCTTCACATGGTGGTTGGAGGATCAATGAGACAATGTAGGTTAAGAAGGTAGAACAGTACTTTGCATATAGTGGATGCTCACTAAGTGTTAGTGGTTTGTAGTGGTGATAATTATTACTAGGTACTTTTAGTATATTACCAATGACTTAGAAAACTGAACTTATTTGAAAGTCACTTTAAGTAGAGAGGCTGGGCTAATGGATTTTCTTGGAATGTAAGAGCAATCAAGAACTAATAGAGAAGATGGAGTAACACACTTAGGCAGCTGCACCAGATTTAAGAGCATGTAGAAAGCTGGAAAGTAATGCTCTCACTTCAGTGGGTTGTAGTGGTTCTCCAGTCACCTTTGAGGTGATTCTGAGTCCTGAGTTTGCTTAAAAAGTGCTTCTGTCGCTAGAGTTCTAAGTGGACCCATAAGCAGACTGTTCTAATCTTACTTATTGTTGGTCTCTGATTTCTCTCTTTTCAGTTTTCCCTCTATTAAAGGAAGAGACTGGGTTTATTAATTGAAATGGGGAAGGGCTACAATTAGGAGTTGAATTAGCTCCTTCTACAAAAAGGGATCTTATTTTTAGTCTGAGCATCATTTAGATATTGTCCAGAGCTCCTTTTATGAAGAATGAACATACTCTTTGAGCAGAAGACCAAAAAAAGACAAATCCAAGCATTCTTAGCCATGAGTTTTCATAGGGTAGCAAATTTTGCCTAACCTTGGAATATTATTTTAATTTTTTGCCATAGCAACCTTGAGTCCCAGGCTGCTGGCAATGTAACCTTAGAGTGGTTCCAGAAAGCAACTTTGGAACCACTCAGGGAGACAGGTGTTTCTCCCTTGTAAGTCTGGACCTTGTAAGAAAATGTAGATCATGGTTATACCATCCAGCCTTCTGCTGTCAACACTCCTACCACTATGGCGTTCCCAGAATGTTTTACTGGGAATTATTCCATGAGTTTGGATAATTTATGTTGTATGACTGACAAACCTGCAATGCTGAAGGCCCCATGAACTCTGCCTTTCACTGTATGATATTCGGGTGTTTAGAAACTGATGGTTACCCAGGCAAAGATCTGTGGACCAGTGATATTTCTTATTTGACCCTGGGACATCATACTGTGGGATACAGCAGGAAAAGAACCTATGAAAAACAAATCTTACCTTAGTGGGGGAAGTGACCTTATCCACAGATTGCTTTTCCCAGAGGTTCCGCTTGCCAGATACATCTCCTGGCCTCAAATCCTAATGAAGAGAAAGCAGAAAAAAATTGATAGGCAGCCATATATATTTTCTGGCCAGATCTAAATAAATCACCACATCCATTGTTTGTTTGTTTGAATCAGTTTCTTGTTTAATACACTTTATCCTAATGATCTGAAATGGATGGCATCCAAAGGATCATTAACTGTTGTTTGTTTTTATATAGAACTTGACTTGTGTTATGACATGAGAATGGGCTGGAAATATCCAGCAGTTAGGTCCTGTCCTTTCCCTAAGGACCTACTGTTTATTGGTCAGTAAAATTGGAATATAAGCATATTTGAAATAATGTAGCCTATTTTTAACTTTGTATGCTCTTAGAAGTGAATAGAGCATAGGTTAGTTATAAAGACTTCCTTTGGGTTTGGGTAAGCATTTCACCCTTTGCAGATGAACTTTCTTTCAGTGCCCTACCCGTGTCCCCTCGCGCTTATGACTTGAGTGCATACTAGCCTGACATCCAACTGCCAACACCGTGTTTCTTGCCTGAGGACTTTCTCTGGCTACAGATGCCCCCTTTGCCCACCCAGGAGGTGGTTGGAAGTTCAGAGAGTTAACATGCCCAGGAGCAGTCCTCAACAGCTCACTGATGAGATTTGGTGCAAGAACATGTCTCAGGCTCACTCATGCCTCAGGTAGGAGGTCTCTGAAACATGGCTTCATAGTGGCTTCCTGGGTTTTCCCGGTAGGATTAAGTTTTAATAGCCCACATTGTGACTTGCTTAATAACATTTTTTATTGGCTGCCTTCTTTCTCCCGTCTCACTTCCTGTAGTGTTGTTTTCACTGCCCAAGTACACGACTTGCACTCGCATCACTATCTTAGGGTCTGCTTCAGGGCAGCTCAAACTAAGATGCTTTTCTAATTGCACGTTCCTCAGACTAAAATCATTTTGTGTTTCCTGAGGAGCTAGTGGGTAATTCAGAAGTGTATCAGTAGAACCTAGCCCCACAAAAGTAAACACGTACCACAAATTGTACCCATAAGAGAAACCGACAGTTGATGACATATGTGAGAACATGTAGAAATCTTGGGAAGAAAACACTAAAATATGATTGATAACAGTTATATAGCTTTGATTCTTTACTACCTCATAATTAATCTGGTTTGGATAAGGATCCAAATTTCTGTTTCCATTTACTTTTCTTCTAGTATTTGCTTATATTAGTACTTGGCAAAAGGTAGTTTGTAGAAAATAAATATGTTTTACTGAAATAGTAATGTTTATTTTGGCACACCCCTTTCTCATTAGGAAGGCAAAGCTAAGAGCAATTGCATTTATCCATGGACACCAATCGAAACGGACATATTTTTGATAGATAGTATTGAAATTTCGACCCTGAAAGTACGTTGGTTAAATGATACTATGTGAAGCATTTCAGATTTTCTTTAATCCTACAGATTTTCTGGATATCCACTGTGGCATGAATTCCTGATATTCTGTTAGAGAGTTACACCTATTTAACTTGGAACCAGTAAGCAACAAATCAGGTTGTTTTTAAGGAATTCCACTACATTTGCCAATGTTGGTAGAAGCTGCCAAATTGTCTGGAAGACTGTTTTAAAATTTTGGAAACTATAATTAGGCACATGCTAATGGAAGCTCTGGTAAGTGACTATTATTACTTTATTTATTTGATTCATATAAGACAAATATTTTTCTTTCACATGAATTTTCTTCTACCGAAGAAAATGAATTGTATTTCCCTTAAATCCTGCCTATGAATCTTTCGAGATCACTTAAAAAGTTTAAAGAGTCTATTTTAAGAAAATATTAACATCTAAGTGGTAAGTTGGCATTTTAAATCAAAGGGGAAATAGAAATAAATTACCTGACCAGACTACATTTTAGAGAAAGACCCACTCCGGGAGAAGAGGGAGAAATGAAGGCAGGAGAAGCAGGTTTCCAATCAACCAGAGATCAAAGAATGAAGAAGAGAATTCAGCTGAGAAAGACATTGTTGAGTTTTTTTTTAAACAAAAAGAAAGACAAATTAGCATTTTAATTGCTGTATATAACATGTAGTCTAGACACAAAGAACAGACAAACAAGCTAAAACAGACATACTCAGAATTGAATTCCAGTTACAAAGTTATACTGAAATCCTGCAACTTCTACCCATAAATAGCAATAGATGTCCCAGTAAGGAATCAACTGCAGATCAATGCTTACTTTTAAAGAAGTTAATTTTCAGGGACCCCAAATAATATTGATTTGACAAACTATTGTGAGCACTTTTAATTCTTAGTATATATGAAAATTATTGTATAACTTGGTAGAGGATGGTTTTTCTCTGCAGTGAATTTCAGAACAATGCTAATCCTGAAGGAAACACTAATTTCCCTCTTCTTGAGGTTTCACTGGGTGAGGACCATTTTGGTGAAAGAATTTCCCTCTGACTTTTCCTTAATCGCTACATGCCATACATCTGCAAACACAAACCTAGGCTTTCCTCTCCACCTGTATATGCCAAGGAATATAAACAAGGGACTGAGAATAAATCACCTCTGGTCCAAAATTAGAAAGCACCTTTGGGGCCTCCTATTTGCCACCATCTTTAGCTAATCCTCTGACATCCTGGGCTCAGGGTCAGTCTGACCAGAGTCCCACGGGTATCAAACTCAGATGCCTGCCATGAAGGCCAGGCTGGAAACACAAATGCCTAAAGAAGCTTGGTGTAAGAAAATAAGGAAAAGAAGGAATCAACAAATTCAAGAGTGCATGCCTCGACACCTCAAAAATGTGTTCAAATTACAATTTAAAGAGGAAAATAAAGTACAATGCTGTGGGCCAAACTACACAGATCTTAGCTGCAGGCCACCAGTGTGAGACCCCCTGGACAAGATCCTTGCTTGACCTATGTTTCTAAGCTGCCTTCCCAGACTTAACCTCTGCCAGCCAAGATTTATGCATCTGCAGGATCCTTCTAGCTCTTTCCACAGTTTGGAAATTTCATCTCTTTTCTGCTGGACCCAAAGTGTCTGTGAGTTACCCTCCTACCTTGCTGGGCTCCAGGCAAGTCCTCTCCCAAAGAGACCACCATGTTGCTATTCATACTTTGACAGAGTGCTGTCTCTACTACCCCTGCAACATGGACAGAGCTTAAAGTTGCTTATTAAGTGTATGCAAACTGGCTTTTTAATTTACAATATCTGTTACATATTGCTTTCTTTTGATCTGGCCTTCATTCAGGAAGCCACCCTAGTCTACAAAATCCAATGGGACATGGGAAAAAAGAGATTACTACCATCTATACAAATTGCTACATTCTTCTTTCCTTTTCCTTCCAACCTCTGGTAGATGGTCTAGGAAATTACTAAATAGTAGGTAAAGCAGGCAATGATTTTGTAATTTCCCTGTAACATCTTTTAGTCCTGCCATTTTTCAGAGGCTGTCAATAATCTCTGAAAATGTTTTATTTTTTGTGGAAACTTTGACAGTTATATCTATTGTAATAATGACTGAATTGAATCTTTTTAACCCACTCATTAGATGATGATGGGCTTATTAATTAATGTGCTGGTAAAAGAGTGTGAGTCAAGTCCTGGACCAAACATAGGAGTATAATCTGGTATAGAAATGAAATAGGTCATAAATACTATGAGTGTGAAAAAAATGACCAGCTCCTCTGGCAATGTGCCATACTCATCAAGGAAGGAAACATATACCTTCCTATTTTTATCCTGGCTATCTTGAGAGACCTTCAATGGGTCCATGAAACTGCTGAACTTGTATTATATGCACGTTTTGCAGGAGAGGGTCCTTAGGTTTCATTAGGTTTTCAAAGGGGTCCATAATTCAAAAAGGTTAATAGTCACTGGTCTGGAACCACAAAACTTATATAAATTGCCATTTAAAAAAATAACTTCTTACGTCGCCTTGGGTGCTGGGGAAACTTGAGGCACTAAAGAGCACATAGCTTTTGGGTATGGTCCCTTGCTTCGACTGTCTCCTTTTATAGGCCCCCTTTCCTGTATATACTGGGAGAGGGAAAAAGATTTTTTTTCAATACATAAAGATTTTCCAATTGTAAATTGGGTTTACATTAGTTTTATACCCCCTGTGAGCCCCTAGGCAAAGAATCTCGGGCTGAATATTAATTAAGTGACTATAAGGAGTTGTGCCCAAGAAGGGTATGGACATGTTTCCTTTTCTTCTTTTTTCTTTTTAAATTGGGAAAGTGATCAACTTTAGTGACTTTGGAGATTACATGTGGAGCCAATGGATGCAATTAAATGCTCAATGGCACAGAGGTCTAGGATTTGGAAAGCTTTTCTTCTACCTCTGGAATGGAGTGGTTATGACAATTGAGTCTCTGCCCCCTCAGGCACCAACAAAGGTATAAAAGCCACCTTAACAGAGAAAGCTCACCAATATATAGTAGGGAGCTTAATAAGGTTTTTGATTATAATGATAAGTGCAAGACAATTATCATATACATTCAATGAAACGGTTAAAAGAATATTTTTATAGTAAGACAGCCACACTTAATGAGAAAATTTTAGATTTCCAAAAATAACATTCATAAGCAGTTTTTATAGTTTCTAGTTTTACTGGATTTTTTAAAATGGCCTTCCTTTGGAGGTATCGACATAAAATTATAGCAATTATTTCAACAATTACCCAATAACTGTATTTTTGTGCTAAGTTACAGAATTTGGCAAATTAGAAAATACAGGTTCAAAATAGCCAACATACACAGTCTTTTGGGAATAAGTTTAGGGGTGCTCTTGACAGAGAATTGGCCAAGGTAATTTGACATTTTCATTTTCAAATTCCTAGCTATAATGTATAGAATAGAAGCTAAACAAATAGTCCAGTTAAGAGTGTAAATTTGAGCTGCCTCAAGGTTCTGGTTAATTACTACTCTCAGGGTAGAGAGGTGATTATGGTTCCATTTTAGCCTCTGGGTAATTATGGGGCTGCTCTGGGCTGTTCTTTCTAAATCTGAACCCCTCCTTCTGTGTTACTCAGCAGTGACAGAAAAGAATAGGTGCCTTGTCTTTCCCAGGAAATAGACCAACTGCCTCTTCTTCCTCTGCTGAAAGCTGAGAGAGCAAAGAAATTCAGAAAAACCCAAGGCTACTTACAGAAGGTTTGGGAGCAGGTGACTTGTTTCCGTCTGGGGTTTTGGTGAGCCATTCATTGATGCGGCTGGAAACCCCCACCTTCAAGCCAGCAGTTTCCTACAAAGAGTCAATCATCCAAAATATTAAAGAAAAAAAAAAACTTTACCAGGAAAGAAATCTTCAAAGCAACCTGAAAATATTACTAAGTATTATTTCACATAACCATCACATAATGCTAATCAATTATTAATTGTTATATTTAATATTTTGAGTAAATAAACCTTAAACTTGATATTTAAAGAATGTGTTATCTGGTTTTCTTTTCCCTGCACCTCACCCCACCGCAACCCCAAGGGTTGGCAATTAATTTCAGGCACTTTATTTGGAATACTGTGGCCAGAGCATAGTACATAGTCTAACCTCATGAACATATTCTTTCTGAACTTGCTTTGGCCGTCATAGCAAAAGAAAGCAAGAATTACACCTTCTTCACTGCTTTTATTATTAACTGGTGTGATTCCTAAAAACAAAAAAAAAAAATCCACCCTCTAAAATTAAAAGACAAAAATCCTATGCTCACCTTATTTGGTGTGCCTGAAGCAGCAGGGGACGAAAACACATTCCCCTTCTCCCACATGCTCTTGATATTGCGTACACCTTCGGCAGGGACAGGAAGATCTGAAGCCGCGGGCTTTGTAGGTTTCGCACTTTTTGTTCCCTGAAGTGTGGGAATTGTTTTTAGGATTGGTGCTGATAAGTTTGTTCTCACAAAATTATAGTGAGCTTGTCTTCCTAAACATCATCATTTAAAAAATTCATCGTGTAAATATCTTCACCAATGACAAGAGTCATAATTTCTGTTGTAAAACTACCTTCTGATGACATATATACCTCAAACTAAACCATAAGATCTAGATCAGAGGGTCTTTCAAAAATGAAATATGCTTTTTATTGGGACACCATTTATTGTTAAGGTGATGTTCTACTTCATTTCTTCAACAGATACTTCTTAAGTGCCTACTGAGTACAAGGCACTGTGCTAGGCTCTGGGGATACAGTGGTACTCAAGACAGTCTGCTCTGTAGGCTGCAGTGGACTTACATTTTAATAGGAGAGAAAGACAGTGACTAGTTATACAAATATTTATTTCACATTGTGGTAAGTGCTATGAAAGATAAATGTAGTTCTGAGAAGCATGCCAAGAGAGCACACAATAGGGAAATAATACTTAGTTTAGGGGAGCAAAGAAGTCTGCTCTGAGGAAGTGATATTTAAATCCAGATCTCACAGAAGTCTTGAAAGTGGCTAGGTGAAAAGAAGGAGCAAACGCCATTCCATGCAGAAGGAACAGCATGTGCTAAGGATCAAAGACAGGGACATGCTGAAAGATTGAGAGACCTCTGCATGGAGAATATACTGGAATGAGGAAAGAATGGATGTAAGGATGAAAGATGTGCTTGCGAGATACTTCTTCAGCAGTAGTGATGGGCATTCTCAGAATCATGCAGTTTTTCTGGTTGTCCTGGTATGAGGCCTGTGGCATGTGTTGTCAAGGTGGTCAGCTAGGGTGAGTGGTACCACCAATGGCCCATGCATAAAAAAATCTCCCAGGACGATGCCCTGAAGCCACAGTCTTGACTTCATTAACCCTATAAGAGCTATGACCACTTCAACCACAGAAAATAACTATGTGCGACTTGTCTTATATTTTAGTGCACACTTAATCTTGTGAAAATCACCTCTTGAGTGTTAGGACTTGATTATTCATTTGATAAATCATCCAGACCTCTCTCTTTCAAATTCTCTCTTATCATTGGTTTGTGAACTATTTTACAGATGTCTCCACTCTGCAGTACAAAGGATAAAATCAAACTCATCCAATTACTTTACAGCAGGTATTCTGATATAGAAGGTGGCTAAATCATCGACTCAAGTCTACACAAAGGAGAAAAACAGGATCACATCTTGATCAATGGCACCCTAACTTCTTAGTGTATTGGAAACTGTCCTTGGAAACACACATTATTTCCAAATAGAGTAGAACCCCTAGGTCAACTGGGTGGAAAAAAAGTTGGAATAGACAGAAGCATAAAACTACGGTCCTTCAAGTATAACATAATCAATTTGAAATTGATGATGATTAAACTCAGGCTGGCTATCATCTTTATATTAACGTGTACTACTATTTTTATTTAATAATAAAAGTTTTTATAGACAAAAGAGAATTAACCAAGGTTGTAAGGGACCTGTTTAAACTACATATGGGAACACATTTTATAAGGAATTAGGGATATTGAAGATATACTTATGAACATATAAATAATATAGTTAAATACCAATAAAACCATTCATTAAAGGATAACACCTTCATTAAAGAATACTCAGGCTGAAAGTAGTAAACAACAATTTAAAACTTTTCTATAATTTATCTTTATTATTGTTCTTCTCTATAACTAGTTCAAAGTGTAATAAAGCATCATTAATATTCTAACTCACAAATGTGGTTATTGGATTTGATTATTGTCCTAAGTGTTTCTAGGATCATCTATATGATCAGAGTCTATTTCTTTTTGACCATAACTCTGAGGCCATCTCTCACCTCAATTGCACTGGTGTATTGTTCCAGTCTGCTGTCAATCTTGGAGACCACTGCTGCTTGATGAGTTGATTTGACACCACTGCTAAGAGAATACACACACACATACATATATAAAAATACAAGAGAGAATCTTTCCATATATAATGACTGATGATTCTCAATTGAACAATCAACCATATTTACCTTTTCTGCACAGACTTATTCAAAAATTCTGCTCGCTCTTCTATCTAGGAATGGAAAAAAAATAAACCCAGTTAATATTTTCAGCTTATAAATAATGTTTCTCAGCCTATGCCACTATCTCCCCTGACCCTGGTGAATAAAAGCACCAAAGAGTGTCTAAGGGCATTAGGGTGCTGGGCACACCAGCTCTGCTAGAGAAGAAAGCTACGTATAGGCATTTGAGGGAGATTTGGAGGATAAATGTAGTATTGGCAGATGATAGGGAAAGTGTGGAGAAATATAAAATTTTGGAGGCAAATTAAAGACTAGACAGAAATGGAATAAAAATGCCTCTAAAATAATGTAAATCAGTGGCAAAATAGTTACATTTCAAAACTATTACAATAATTTTTTCAAAATCACATGCTGTTACCCCTTGCGATATATGAGTATATATGTACTATGCTATTTGATTAACACAATTTTCCCACAATGTTTTCACTACATATTTGGTATGGAATAGGATCAAATAAGAAAGATAACTAGGAACTGTGAACAAGTCACTCATTGCTTAGCCTGATTTCCTAACTTGATGACTGTCAAGCCTATTGCTCAACTTCATTTGCCCTGAATGTAGAAGACAGGGGTGGGGATGGATTGAGACTGGGGCACAGCTCATCAGTAATGGCTGAGGCCTCCCATGAAGCCCCTGTTAGCCCAAGTGGGAATTAAGGAAATAAGCCCAGAAAAACTGTGATGGATATATATGAAATGGGCAGTTCAGTAGTCTTTAATAAATCCTTTTTCTTTTAAAGCTAGGAACTTCTTTTTGCTACAACTAAAGCTGCTAAATCAAACATTATATTTTACTGAAACTATATCACTCAAATCAGATGATCTTTGTAAGTCAGCAAATATTTGTTGACTCCTTGTGATAGCCAACTTCAGGCTAGAAATATTCTCGGCACCCAACACCTATCAAAATCAGCAGATAGTAAAATGTTCTTTGTGTATCACAGCATGTGCCAAAGCACTCACAGGCTAAAAGGGTCTGTTTTCTGCCTCTTTCAGGGCAGCCAAGGAATCCACCTGACTCCAGTTACCATAGGCTGAGTGGTTGAGCGCCCCCTATAGTCTTCTGAGATGCTAGTGGCTCTTTCTGGCCTGGACTGACCTGAGACTCGTGGACTATTAATAAATATCCTTAGGCTTTTTGGAAAACATGCTTCACTCCTAATATCAGTTGAATAACATTTTTATAGATGTTAGTGAGGGCACTTCATTCTTTCCAATGATTTCTTACAGTGATAAAAGCAAATTCATTAAGACTAAAACTTTATGCAAAAAAGTCCTTTAGGTAGCCCTGAGTTTATGGGATGTAAGGTGTCTTAAATCTTTTTTTTCTGATTTTAATATATACTTATAGGTGCATTTCTGGAGAAAAAGTTCCCAGTTGAATGAGGTGAAATATGTTGAAACCATGCAATGCTCTGGCACTTTTAATATTATCCATCCATCCATCCATCCATCCATCCATCCATCCATCCATCCATCCATCCATCCATCCTACCTTTAACCCTATCAGCCTGTCAGCTAAACAAACAACCAGTAAATTATCTATTGAGTTCCTACTATATACAGTTGAATGCTCAACAATGTGTAAGACAGTGTCCCATTCTTTAAGGAGAACACAATTTAGTAGGGGAGACTTACAGAACATATAAGTAAAATACAAATTCAATGGTAGGTACCATATTAAAGATGAGAAGACAATGCTGTGGCTATAGGAGAAGTGACTCTCCGGAGCAGATGGAGAAGGCTTTTCAGGAGTGTTGATATTTGAGCTGAGATTTTTAGTTTACAGTTTACATAGTTTTATAAATGAGTTTATGAAAGTGAGGGTGGGAGTGCATGAGTCAGACGGGAGAGGACATTTCTAGTAGAGCAAATACACGTATGAAGATCTGGGAAACATAGGCAAAGTGGTGGGAGCGAAGAACGAAGAAACAGCCAGCGTGGTGGAAGGACAGAGGCACGGTAGAGGGGGTGGCAGAGGCGAGAGTTGCTCTCTGTAGCACTTCCAGCATCATTCTGACACAGGGATCATCTTGCTAACCTTGGCCATCACATTTGTTCAAACTACAGAGGCTCTCAGACTCCAACTTTTCCTTTTGTATCTACAGTACTCAATATAGCTGGACTTCATTATCCCATTTCATCAGGACTCACCATCCATTTACTGACGCACTTTAAAATTCCTTAACTTAGTGGCTCCAGATAATGTAACAATTTGTACTGAATTTGTAAATAAAACATTCTATATAAGGAGTTTAATGAGGGAAACTGGTTCTTCTGAAGACCAAGAGATGGCAGTGTTGCCCCAATAAAACTCAGGGGAAAAACAGTTTTAAAAACTTAGTTTTTATTAGAAAATCAGCTCTCTCCTAACTCCACACCCCCTCCACCACCAATATATGAAAATAAGAATAATAAAAACAAAATTTTAAATTTAACTTACTTAAAACTTATTCTTTCATGTTATGTAAGAAAAATCATTCCCCGCTAACATAATTTAACTATAAGAAACCAGGTTCAGGGCCGGCCCCATGGCTTAGCAGTTAAGTGCGCGCGCTCCGCTACTGGTGGCCCGGGTTCGGATCCCGGGTGCACACCGACACACCGCTTCTCCGGCCATGCTGAGGCTGCGTCCCACATACAGCAACTAGAAGAGATGTGCAACTATGACATACAACTATCTACTGGGGCTTTGGGGGGAAAAAAAAAGAGGAGGATTGGCAATAGATGTTAGCTCAGAGCCAGTTTTCCTCAGCAAAAAGAGGAGGATTAGCATGGATGTTAGCTCAGGGCCGATCTTCCTCACACACACACAAAAAAAAACCAGGTTCAGGGTTTCCCAGATGAGGAATAAATTTCACGAGAAATTAATGAAATACACTAGTTGATAATATTTTGAGGTCAAATATCCAATGTTTTTCCTCCCACTGGCATTCCACAATGTTAACTTGTGAACATTGGTAAGAGTTGTGGGCCCAAGAGCATCCACAGCTGCTGGAATTCAATTGTAGAATATGAAATTGAGCTCTAAAACCAGAACCACAGCAAGTTCTTCAAGGCACACACTATGGAGAAAAGCAATAGATTGTTCCAGAAAGCCTGTCTCTGTTAAATAGAATTTTAAAAAGCTTTGTTTCTTTTTTATATATCTACTTTAATTGATTGCTCACACATGCCTCTCTACCCAAGGAAGCAGATAAATGGCTTCCTGGGAACACTCAATGAAATGGGAAGCCAGGAGTCTGGTTGAGGGAAAGACCATAGAAGTAAATAAGCTGAAAAATTTGGTAGAGAAGAGATGTGAAGAGGAGGAGGAGGATGGATTGTAGTTTTTCCTGAAAAGAAGAGTAGAAATTAGAAGTCTGGATGACTACTACTTTTTTCATGTTACCAAGACTATTCAAAGAAAACTTAGCTTGGGTAGAATTTTAAGGAAGGTAGAAAGAGAGAACACGGTTTTCTTTGATTATTGATGAACCAGGAACAGAAGGACCCAGACCAGGAATGGAGCGGACTCTTGTGGCTACACAGAAATAGCCTGAACTGAGTGGGGTTTTTTGCCTTTCTGATCTTTCTCCTATAGCAGGAGTCTGCAAACTATGGCCCATTTGCCCACAGGCCAAATGCAGCAGCCCATATTTTTCACGTAGCCCTCAAGCTAAGAAAGAGTTTTATATTATTAAGTGATTGAAAAAAATCAAAAGAAGACTATTTTGTGACATAGGAACATTTTATGAAATTCAAATTTCAGTGTCCATAAATAAGCTCGCCTACTCCACAAGGCTTCTCTCTACTCATTTTGCTCAGTTTTGAGGTCTCACTGTGCTGGTAGTCTGCATCTGGTTACCTTTGTAATTCTTGAATTCCCCTGAGGCAGCCAACTATATTAGTGTCCCGGGAGCGGCAACCTTGCTTTGTACTTCTCTTCCTCATGGTACATAGCACACAGTAGGTATGTTATAAACATCAAATGGTAAATCATAAAGCCCTGCTGTGCTTAGTTTGGATTCCCCCTGAAGCAGAGCTTGAGATGAGAGGGTTCAAGCATAAGTAGTTTATTTGGGAGATGTCAGAACTATGACTGGGACGCACACGATCATGAAGACTAAGCAAAGTTATTTAGGGATAAAATGCGCCGATTTTAATGTGAAACGGGTAATAACTATAAAATGTAAGTAACTAGCTTTTGGTCATTTTAGTGTGGCACAAGGTACGACCTCACACACATTTACAGACAACACACATGCACACACTTAACCCAGCTGGAGCCTGGCTAGGATTCGATACTGGCTTTGCCCAGTGTCAATCCACTATAACCCAGCTAGGTTGATGGAAAATGAGGGTGAAATAAAAATGCTAAAAGTTCCAACTCTGAAGATTCATTCATTCATTTATTCATTCAACAAATATTTGTTGAGTATCTTCACTGTGCCAGGTGCTCAATAAATGTTAACCCTCAAGGCAAAAAATATATTTGAAAATATTGAGATTTTCAAATATAGATTTGTAGTAGCAGATTTGTAGCAGATTGAGTAGAAATTATAGCGAGTACTTTCTTGACTCTATTCTCCTTTCTCTACATCTCAACCACTCCATCATCTCCCAGACTCAGCTCCTTCCTGCTCATTCTCTTTTCTCTTGGCAGCACTTCTGGCTTACATCAATTAAGAGCTATGCTCCTTGAAGGCAGTAGTGGACCAAACTCATCCTGGCCAAGGACCCTATCTAAATCACCTGCATCTCCTCCCATGACAATAGCTTTCAAATTTGACCAGTACATTTCCAGCTGCCCCGCTTTTAAGAACGACAAAGAAAAAATTAACAGCTAGCATGAAAAGCAGTTTAAACCTTATAATATATTTGCCCATTTTATAAACTCTAAATGTTTCAGTTTTCAGTTGCTCAGAGCAATGAGGCACCTGGAGAACATGGGTCAGTGACATCTAGAGATAATCGCTGAATGTCATTTTAACGTATACCAAAGCATCTAACAAACAACAGGTACAAATTTCTCCCCTTTATTTCTCCTTCCCATATGTTGAAAACAAAGAGAAGCTGTGAAATGGCTGCAAGAAGGAACAAAAAGATAAATGAAGCAAAGGCTTTGAATAATGAATAACTAAATAAGGGGCTAAGAGCAGGTTTCTATTCTATTATAATAGAGGCATTATAAGAAGGTTTTCTGGTGGGGGGGGATACCTTGAGTGATGAACCTTTGGGAGTGAAACATTTGAATGGCTTCTTGTCATCTGATAGGCCATCTTCTGGCATCTTCTGGCGTTTCTCAGCAGCTTCTGCCCTTCGCCTTTCAATCTCTTCCTTTAGCCTCCTCTTCTCTTCCTAAGAGAGAAAGAAGAGATGACAAGACATCAATATCAGCTTCAAGCCAAAAGGAAAGACAGCTGTAGGGCAAAGAGCATGGTCCCAGAGGGAAAAGGCCCAGGTTCTAGACTAGATGCTGCCTCTTCCTCAATGGCGCTGAGTAGAGGTGAAGCCTGAGTTCTTCAGTCCAACTGCCTGATTTCACATGCTGGTACTGCCACTTCCCAACTGTGCGACCTTGGCCATGTTACTTATCTGCTCTGTGTCTCAGTTTCCTCATCTGTAAAATGAGGATAATAATAGTATCCACTGAATAGGGCTTTAATGAGGACTGAATAAGAAAGCCTATGAAAATGCTTACACTAGTGCTCAGTATGATTATCATCATCATCATCATCATCCTGCCAAGTCATTTAACACTGACCTTGCACTTCTGTATGTGTAAAATTAATATAAATATCCCTTCTACCTCCTTCCTAGGAGAGTTGTGAAGACAAATGAGACAACTTATGTGCAAAGTTATATAAATCTATGGTACTATATTTTCCAAATTGTACAAGAGATGATTTTATGGTGCTCCCCACCTCAAGTGAGTAGATTATTTTAGACGGTTTGACAAACCTGAAATGGTGTAGATATTGCCCCATGGCAGTGAAGTCACAGATATAATCTGTCTCATTAACCTCTCTGTGCCTTCTTTCCTGGCCTGTCTTCTCTCCCCTGTCTTCTCTCTCAGGCAAAAACTCCAGAGCTCCAATCAGGTTGCACACCCTCTATGAACGATTTTCTGAGATTTATGCAGTTTTTTGTAGTTTTCAAACTGTGAGATCTTTATCACTGGATGTTCTCAAGCAGAGACTGGATGTCTAGCTGTCAGACAATGTTGCAGAAGGATCCTGTGTGTTATGGACTGAATGTCTGTGTCTCCCCAAAATTCATATGTTGAATACTTAACCCTCAATGTGATGATATTAAGAGGTGAAGTCTTCGCAAGGTGATTAGACCATGAGGATGGAGCCCTCATCAATGGGATTAGTGCCTTATAAAAGAGGCCCCAGACAGCTCTCTTGCCCTTTCTGCCCTGTGATGACACAGCGAGAAGATAGCTATTTATGAACAAGCAAGTGGGCCCTCATCAGACATAGAATCCACTGGCCTTGATCTTGGACTTCCCAGCCTCCAGAACTGCAAGAAATCATTTCTGTTGATGGTAAACCACCCAGACTATGGTAATTTGTTATAGCAGCTCAAACTGACTAACATACTGTGCATGGTAAGAGGTTAGACCAAACAATCTCCTAGGTTCAATCCAGTTCTAAGAGTTCACTCTGCTTTCACTGAAACCCTCCTCCTCTAAGTAATAATAACAATGATAACAATAATTATATAACTTTCACTTCCTGAGTGCCTATGATGTACCAGGCACTGTGAATACAATGATCTAGTTAATCATTGCATCAATCCTGAAAGTAGACATTATTCCACAGACAAAGAAAAGAAGTCTTAGAGTGGCCCAGTAACTTTCTCAAGGTCCCAGCTTGCAAGCGTCAGTTAGGACACAAGCCCAGTTGTGTTAGATTCTAAAGCTCTATCATCCCAATTACTTCCCAACCAGAGGTCATTGGCTCATTGAGTTGGAAGAGATCTTGGAATAATTTATCCAAACTTTCCACATAGTTCAGGGAAAGTTTGTAGAAGAGCCATGTCAGAAAGTCATCTAAAGTCTTTTTGCATATTTTGAATGATGAGAGATCACTGTCTCCTAAGATTAGTGGGAAAAGCTCCAGGCTGAGTCAGAGAAGCTGGGTTCCAATATCGATTCTATCACTTTTTAAACAAGTAACTTCACACAAGTCACTCAAACTATTTGATTCCTGGTTTCTTTGTCCATAAAATGAGAACAATAATGTACCCCAGGATGAAAGGGAAGAATGCACGTTGTAAACTGTAGCAATATAAGTTGTAGTTGGTTAAGCACTTTTTCAGTTTTCAAAATTTGCCTTCTTGTAATTTTATCTGTTGTTTTCAGTCCTGTCTTAAAAGTTCTGTTCATAATTATTGGGCTCCTGCTATATGCCTGGCACTGTGTTGGGTCCTGGGTAAACAGTAATGAGCAAAGCAGATACTGTCCATGCCTGGGAAAATCTAGTCTACTTACTCTTCCACTAAAAAAACAAAACAAAACTATTTTTCCAAATCTTCTCTATGAAAACTCTTCAAATAGCAAAACCAACTCTCACAAGACTCAGGTCTTATAACTAATCTGCAGAACTTTTCATCCTCCTCAGCTCTCTAACTGTTCTTTATTGAGGGGCAGTGTAGGGTAACTGGTTAAGACAAGTGGGACCTTGGGAAAATTACAAAAACCTCTCTGTGCCTCAGTTTCCTCGTCTGTAAAATGGGGAGGATAGAAGTACCCATATCAGAGAGTTCTTATGAGTGTCGCATAAATTAATATGTATAAAGGTTTTAGAACGGTGCCTAGCACACAGTAAGTTGACTGTTCCTGAAATGTATTTGTAAGAGTCCATGCTCAAAAGAGCAGCAGCATTTCATCAGGGAAATAATTATCCCGTGGGCAAGACGGGTCCCCCGAGATGTGCATTCAGGGGCTGCGGTAAGTTGTGGTGCCCTCTGGCTGGGTGGGCTGTGCCCCCCTTACCTCCTCTCTGACTTTTCTCTCCACTTCCTCCTGCTTCCTCTTCTGCTCTTCCTCCTCCAGAACCTTCCTTCGCTCCTCCCTCTTTTTCTTCAGCTCCTCCAGCTCCAAGGCCGCCTCCTGCTGCTTCTGTTTGAGCTTCTCGAACTCTTCGCTCTCGGTTTCCCCGCGGCGGCGGCGAAGCTCCTCCAGGCGCTTGCCGGCTTCCACTTGGGAAGCGCCTTCAGCCTCCCTGGCCTCGCTCGCCCTCCCTCCTGGGCGGCTGTCGGGAAATGCAAAGGAGTTTGACACAAGTCTGCCTTGCAGCCTCCCCTGGAGGGAGGATGTCGGTCTGCAGGCTTTGCATTCCACACTGGAGAAATCTCCACTGCCCATCATTTGACAGTGGATCTTCACACCCGCCCACGGTGTAGGTTGGGGTCGGCCGGGAATGTCAAAGTCTAAATCTGAGTTCCTGCTCTGCCACCTACCTTTGGTTTCCTTAGCTGTACAAGGGGGCAAATAGGCACTGATGGGATTGTAAAATGGTGCAACCACTATGGAAAACAGCATGGAGCTTCCTCAAAAAATTAAAAATAGAATTATCATATGATCCAGCAACTCCACTTCTGGGTATTTATCTGAAGAAAATGAAACACCAACTTGAAAAGATATTTGCACTTTCGTGTTCATGGCAGCATAGTTTACAATAGCCAAAATATGGAAACAACCTAAGTGTGCATCAATGGATAAAGAAAATGTGATATATATACATATGCACACAACAGTGGATTATTATTCAGCCATAGAAAAGAAGAAATCTTATTTAAATACTTATTAACAAGTAGTGAGGGCATTCTTAACTAGATCTGAACATAGGTAGCCCATTTCTGACACTTTTGTCTAATGAACAGATGAATTATCACTGTCTAGTGTCATGGAAGAATAAAACAGACAATGGCTTCAAGATTACATAATTACCAATGCTGATCTTATGTGTACACATCATGCTTTTTAAATATTGAGGTAGTTCTGAACACACTATGTCCTTTAGGACAATGCTTTTCAAGCTGGTTTGGAAAATCAGTTTAGTGAACTGTAACCAGCATTTTAAAAAATAAAATAGAAAACATCAGAATACATTGCATACAACAAGAGAAATTACCATTTCTTGACATGCTTCAGTTATAAATACATATGCAGATGTATACTGGGTTATGATGTAAAATTTATTCCTTACTAAGAGTTGAGGTTAAAAGGTTAAAAACATTGTACTAGGTTCTTGATGGTTAAAGATGAACTCTTATTTTGAGCTCAGTTAAGGTTAAACTTGATGTTGCTCTTTCACGGTCTTATAGGTTCATAGGCCTGTGACTGCAGAGAGAAAATCCCCTCTCTTAGATAAGTTAAGATTTTTCCATCTTCAGAGACGAGTTTGCTCTCTCTGTTTTGATCATGTTAGTGTTCAGTTGGACTGGCAAAACACATGCCTACAGAAACTTCTCTGGATTCCACTAGGTGTCACTCAGTCTTCATTTTGGACATTCAAAATGCCCGTCATTAGAGATTGGTTAAATAAATCATGATACGTCTGTCCGGTGGAACACTCTAACCGCATTAATTGTAGGCTTATATTCATTGGTATAGAAAGCTAGCTAAGATACATTGTTATGTGCAATTCAAGAACCAATTTAAAATATAGATTTATAATTATCCTCACACATATGTATGTGTGTGTCTATTTTGAATATATAGAGAGAGACTATCTGGAGAAAAGTGTTCCTGGTGATTATCTTTGACGGGTGGGTGCTTATTTTTATACTTCTATTTTCTGAATGTTTTATAATGAGAACATTTTTTCCTATAATCAGAAAAAAAATTTAATTCCCACGTTAAAAAATAAACAGAAAGCAAAACAAATCCTCATTTTGTACTTTCTATAAAACACTTGGTATAATCTGCTATTTCTATAACTTGCTTATCGAACTGAGATTTTTATGTCATGTTTTAGAGAAAACAATCTAGTTACAAGAAAACAGGAATATCAAAGGGGGCAGTAATTAAATTAAACATGAGCTATGCTCAAAACAGAAGCAAGTTTGTCCATATCACCTCTGCTCAGATATGTTGGCATGCCCTTAGCATAAGAGTGCCACTAATATTTCTTCCAGAAGGTTCTCTCCCCTATCCTTGGCTTCTTTAGGTGTAAATCATGATGAACATCAGAACTTTCACCATTAAGAACACAACTTGTTTTCAGTTAAGCTTGTCTAAATAGAAGCTCTTACTCCCTTACCAGCACCTCACTTTATATGTAGCAAAACCAGGTGTCTCTGCTTCTATCAGCATCAACTTCTAATTGAATCTAAAACTAACATATGTGGGCAGCTAAACAAAAACTAATAATATGGTGGCGGTTTGTTTCTGTTATTTTTTTCTGCCCAAAGCTGGAAAAATTAAGGCAAGAGTCATTTAAGAGTTATCAGTGCTCAACCTGTTGCCATTCCTTGTGACTTTTCTCTTTGAATTACCCAGCTCTCTGGATTTCCACACAATGGCCATGTTAATTATTAATTTGAGCTTTGACTGAAGCTGGTTGGCAAATTTGCTAATTGTTAACCAAACTTCTTCCTATGGACAGATTTTTTAACATTCTCTCTCTTAACAAAAATCATACCTACAAACATATTTTAAACCATCAAATAATAAAACAATAATATTATGAGGTAATATTCATTGAATACTTTTCATGAACCTGACCTGTTCTAGGCCTTTAGAGTATTAAACTTCTGGCCATTTAGCAAGCTTTGGACTCAGCTTAACAGCCTGAATCAACTTAGTTTCTAGATTTTCTATGAATTCTCAATAGGCCTTTAATTTTCATATCTTCTTTCTCGCCAATCCCAAATAACATCTATAAATTCTACACTTTTAACTCCTTCACAGTTAATTTAGACCTTTGATACATACTTTTTATTCTGTATTCTTTAGGCTTTCTTTTGGATAAATGTGGCTAGTTTCTGCTCAAATTTTCGTACGGAAAAATTGTTTGGGGGCAACTATATTTACCTAACACCTTAGCATCTTAGAGCAGCTGGAAACATCCATCCCTGGTAGCTCTGCCTGCTTCTGAATATTACAAAGTCTTTGGTGTGAGGAGCATGACTGACTTCTATGCAATACCTGCTTGAGGACTTTCTCACTTGAAATGTTCAGATAAACAGGGTCTACAGGCAAGGCTACTGCCAAAGAACATCCCCATGGGATCCATGTTATAGGGACCCAAGACTCTTTTCCAGAACACTGCCACAGCAGCTGGTGACACAACAGAGGTTGGAATTTGTCACCAGCGGTTGGATGGTGTACGTGTGTGGGAATGGGGCACAGAGAATCATGTAGCCAGGTGTCCATGGCAAGCTTCTGCAACTTGAGTCCTTCTGCAAAACTGGTGGGGAGCTCTCAGTATTCAACGTATCTAGAAGTGAGGATTTACCTGCATATACATGTCTATCTGTCCTAAAATCAGTTGCCCCGATATTCAACATCATGGGTGGGGTGGGGTGAGGAGGGGAAAGCCAAAGCTATGCAAGAGGGTTTTCCAAACTGTATTAAATGCAGCATTACTCCCATGCTCTCTTCCTCCCTCTTGGAGATTCCCAATGCGAGTTAATTAACATCAAGGGCTCTCCTCAAAGTCCTGTGGTAAAGAGATCTGATTAACTTAATTTAACCTACTATTTCCCGAGTATTTGGCCACAGAACAATCTTAGTGTTAGGCAACATTTATTTACAACCTTTAGAAAATACGTTCTTGAAAATGGTACTGAGAAGAGTCTCTTATGAAGTTGGCTGGACCATACAGAGAATGAATCAATATTAATCCCAGCCATAATGTTTTCTAATGAACTGATTTAACATGAGCATATTAAGTCAGAGAACAAAAACATGGATGCCAAGCACGATCTGCCTGGCTAAATAATGGGAAAAGCAGATTAAACCTTGTCTGACCAATGACTGCTGGTATTCTGTTAGTGATTGATAGCCTGACTTGCTGACTAAGTATCTCTAAGACAATGGCCAATGACCTCACAACAAAAATATGTTGCCTGTTAGCACATTTCTGTCTGGAGGCACAGGATAGGGAGACTCATTTTTTTTCTCACACATGAACACAGTCACTGTTAACTAGTCACTACTTCTTACCTGAAAGCATTCTCAGTGTGTTTAAGTTTGTGGGTCATGAATTCTCCATTCTGCGACTTCACTTCTGTAAATCCCTTCTTTCCATCCAAGAAGCTCTTAACTTCTTCTTTGCGCTCTTTGTCCTTTTTAATCTTCTCATCTTTGATCTAATCAACAGTACACATCAGGAAGAAACATAATGATGAAAATAGTATTAGGTTTTGCTTGATATCACCAAATAAGATCCAAAACTGTTAGGAAGCCAGAAAACTGAGAAGTAAAACAAACCACTGGAGAACGATGTGGTAGAGCCGGGGGCAGAGGAAATTCTTAGAGGATGAGCTGTGGTCCTCTAGCCTGTGAGCAAAGACCTTGACCACAATTTTAGGGAGTCAAGATCATCCCTGATTTCACTGGGGTCTTATTTTCAAGAGCAGTGGAGGTGTCACTGTTTGGAAACTATTATGTTCTGGAAACACCACGTAAGAGTGGCTGTTTGCAGCTTCCACTAGGAAGAGCGATTATTAGCGTGGCTTTGATGGGATAATGGCCAGGTTGCTTAGACAGATTTCTTCTTGGATGGAGGGTGCTTCTTTGAGAAGGACACAAATACGTTGAGGAGCAAAGAAGAGGAAACCTCCCAAGTTAGTCACATCTGCCAAGCTGATTTTGGAGGATATCAGAGGAAGATCACCCCTGCATTTTAATCAAATGAGTAACTAGGATTCTGATGATAGAAGACTAAATAACCCCACCTTAGGGGGATGACACAGAGATTTGTGGACCATGTTTGTAGTCATCTAAAGCACTCCAGTTAGAATGGAATAGGAAAAAACTCCAGGGTTTACCTTGACTTCCATTGCAGGTAATAATCTAGTCTCCAGCAGTGGTTTTGTGATTGTTGTGGGAGACAGAGGAAGGTGACATATGAAGAGCAGGTGTTAGCTTTAATATTCTGTGGGTTTTGTGTTACAAATTCCTCAGTAAATGAGACAGATTATTTCAAAGTAAACTGAATTTACATAGCTTTGGGGGAGGTAAAGGAGTTCAAATTACCTATATCATCTCACCCATTCTTAAAAGATGAGTGTGAAAACAGGTGAGATTCATTATTGGTCTTTTCAAGACAAACAGTGACAAAGCACTAAGGTTCTAAAGAAACCCACAGCGGAAGGGTGGGGCATGAGAACTTAGGGCTTCAGGTGCTGCCCATGATGGTCTCCCCTTACCTGATCACTCACCTCTTTCCAGCTATTCTTTAGATACCCTCTGCAAATTTACTCCTAAAGTTCATGTTTTACTAAGCAGAGTACAGTTTTTTGCTCTTTACTGATGAGCCTTCAGTAGTCCTTTGCCTGATTGCCTTCTTTAGGTATTATTTGATTAAATTACTACAGATGGACTATTCACTACCATGTTGCCCTAATTAGTTAAGGCTTTAATCTTTCTCTCTTTAAGGGGTATATACCTAGGATATCCCTCAAGACATGCTGAAGAGGAGAGCTGTTTTTTTTTGCCATTCTCTCTGAGAGCTTTGTCTGAAAGTCAGGAAACCTGAGTTTTAGTTCCAGTGCTGTCAACAGACTAGCTGTGTTACTTAAGTCACTCAACTTCTATGGGATGCTGGCTCCATGTACGTGGAAAGAGGGAGTTGGACTAGGTGATCCCTCCCAAATCCTTCATTCTGTCGTTTCCCTCCTTGGCTCCTGATTTGTTGTGAGGGGCTACAGAGAAGAGAAGGAAGCTCCTGGCCTGTCCTACAACTTAATTGTGGCTCCTTGGTGGCTCTCCTTGCCCAATCATAAGTCAGTGTTGACTGGGAAGATGGGAGCCTGCAGGATCTATTCTGATCTTGGCCTACTATTGTTGGATATAGCCCCAAGAAACATGGACTGGAGTTTATATCCTGGTTAAGAAGTATCTGGAGATACAAATTTGGGGGTGAGAGAGTCCTATTTTAGGGAACCCATGGAACAAATCCTCAGTCAAATCTCACAGTTTGTGACATACTATGCAAAGAGAAATTCCCTTTAACTCATTTCTCCTATTGTAGAGTCAGAGATATTTCCATTCTCCCAAAATGCATTATCTGATTTACTGGCCAAAAATGTATGTAAAATAGATTTGTGAAACAATATATGTCTAACAGACGAAAAATCTCCCTTTTTTTTTTCAAGCTTTGCCTTTATTGGCAAAAGTTATGGAAAGCTTTCTTAGAAAAATTCCCAATGAAATAATGATAATTTGAGTTTGACTACAAATTATTTTCTCTTTTGGGGAAATGAATAAAAAAAGTAATTCCATAATGCCTTTATATTTTATTTTAAGGAGCACAGTGGATTGGATTCTATAGCAAATTCAACCCAAGCTCATGTGATTCTGAGCCCCTTGGGAAAAACATTAGATATTCTAGGTCAAAATGTTACCACGAAGAAAATCTGTGCTAATGGATTAATAGGTAGCCAAGTATCCTGAGGTTAATGTGCTTCATATGCAGATAACATTAGCATATAAAAGGCTCTGGCCGAATGTGATCATTTGGACAAGACTGGATGTTCAGGATACCAAATGGGATAACACACAGGTGTGTGGAGGCAGGGTAGGGTGGGAATTCAAGTGACATGCCCTTGTGCCAGAGAGACACTCAAAATGTCAAATGAGCAAGTCAAAAAGGACCAAGCTGTCAGTCTTTGTAGTGTATTGCTCTGCATTATTTGATTCCAGAATAGTGACAAGAACTGGTGCAAGTTACAGTTTTTCAGATTAGGTTTGCTGCACTTTTGTTAGATTCAGAAGCCTCAATTCCTTTTCTGGATCCAATGCCTACCACATGGATGTCCTTGCCATGGAAAGTTGGAATCTCAGACTCCACCCCAGACCCACTGAGTCAGATTCTGCATTTCATAAGATTCCGGGTGATTTGCATGGTCACCAATGTTTGGGAAGCTTTGGCCTACATGGTGTGAATATCAGTTTCAATATTACATGAACAACTCCGCTAGAAACTGTTTTTGTTAGAGGCCAGAAAAAAAAAAAACCCCAGAGCGAAGAACTAAAAAGAGGTATTTTATAGTTGGAGAGGAGAAAAAGAAAGCTAAATTAAGTTTCAAGGTTGGTGATCATCTGTGATCCACTGCCACAAACAGAGTTAAACTGCACTGGGAGAAAGAAGGTTTTTTGTCAGGTATGGGAGCTACTTCTGGAAATGTTTTTTCTGGGAAGGCTCATGTGGTACTTGCGTTTACTTATGCTTGACTTATCCTGTATAGCTCCTTGAAAGGAAAGCCTTTTTTTTTAACAAAAAGGAGAAAAAAAAGGAGGTGAGTGTTTAAAATGGCTAAATCATGTAAAATATGATTTAAAGTTGTCTACATAAAGCAACCACACAACTAGCTGGAAAGGGGGAAATCTAGTCATTCAACTAGCAATTTATGTATGCAATATTAAAACAGGAATGACAATTTGTTTTTTTTTTTTTTTAGCCTGAGTTGAATACCTAATCTGGCCTTGTGTAAAAAAGAGGCCAAAAGTTTTGGGACACTGGAATGTGCTGTAGGGCAAACTGGGAAAGGGGCAGGACTGAAATCATTATACTACAGACATTGTTGAGGATGATTTGGGTGACCGCTGACAAGCGCTTTCTAGCTCAGGGACACAATACATAGACATAGAATGCTTTGGGCATTCAAAACAAATCACATCATAGTAAATTGGATAAAATTTTAAATATAGAGTCCAAACAGTGCCTTTTCAGCTTCCCCTCCCCCATGTAAACTTAATCACTGAGTTATGATTTCACGCCCTCTTCCTTCTGTAGTTAAAGATATCCACCAAGAAGCACTACCTTAATAGAAGAACCCACGTGGGATATTTCTATTTGAGCTTAGTTCCAAGTAACTTTCATTCTTTATAGATAAATTTGTAGGTGTTCTTCTGTTACAAAATGAGAACAGTGGTTCCCAACATGTCCTTAGCTGGCTCGTTTGAGCCAAATTTGGTTTTCCAGTTATTAGCATTTCCGCTTTTTCCTCCCTTTAAATGTGCAGTGTTCACATTCGGTTTTCACTCCCAAACCACCAAAAGTTCTCTTAGAGACAGGGAGGAACATATATCTTAAACAAAATAAATATAACATGAACCAGGAGTTCTTACTTTTTGCATGAATCTTATGAAAATATGTTGAAGAAAATAACCATCCCCCTATTCAATCTGGTCATTTATTTTCTAAATATGGGTTTTTCTGTTTCTTAATATATGCCATAATGGGCAGAGGAATGTCGCAAGAGTCCATTTGAGTTGGCGCTCAAAGCTGAAATTCAGTGCCCTGGGCAAAGTAATTCAAGTCTTCTCACTTTTGATAATTTAGTTTTACTATGTTCAAGTACTTAGAACTTAGATATTGTCATGATTTTTAGGATTACTGGAGGGTAACATAAGCCGTGATTAAAACAAGGTCAAGCTTTCTGATGTGGCATTTTGATTATGTTGGTGCGTAAAGACATTCTTTTTGCAGCAGCCTCTGGTCCACTGACTCGTTTACTTACCTACAGTCAAACACCCTGGCACCAGCTCCTGTGTGTGCCTCAGAAATGCAATGCAGAACACTTGGCCAAACTTTTCTTTTGAAAACCAAATATCATCTTCAGTTCATCAAATTTCCTACTGAGATGTGGGGGGGTATTTTTCCTTTGAAAAGTTAAATCATTAATCAAAGCCAGTTGGAGATATTTCATGATTGAAATGAAAGTAGGATGGCTCAAGGAAAAAAAATAGCACTTAGAAGAGTAGACAGCTGGAAAGATGAATCAGAGGAGTGTTTTTCAAGCTTTCTGACTGTGACCCATAGTAAGAAAGGCAATTTTATCACAATGCAATACTTACTGCCTACAATGCCCTCCGACATTTTCCATCTATTTCATTTTTTAAAATGTCGATTGACATGTTTAATTAACTTTGAGATGCTCTAAGTTGATTTCGCCAGTCAATGGATCATGAGTCATGGCTTGCAAAACACTGGATTAGAGGTTACAATTTTGAGATCATCAGACTTGAAATGTCATGGAACACTGCTCTCTGTTGCTTTATGATTCGATTATTTCTCAATAATATTTACCTCTTCTTTTTTGAAGGCAGGCTTATCTTCTTGGGACTTTTCTCTTTTAGTTTGCACTTTAGCCCTTTTTTCTTCTTCCTTTTTATTTTCAAGAATGGTAAGGTCACTCATTTCAAAGAAGCCCTTTCTAGCTTCCAAGAGTGAGAGGGTGCTCAGGTCACTTTGCATGTGACGCGGGGTGACTTCTCTTTTGCTGTCTCAGTGCTCCCATCTCCCCCTGTGCCAGTGGTTCTAAACAGCCATGTGGGATCTTTTCTTCCCACCCCAATTTTTTCTTGTGTGCCTGCCACTGTGCTCACTGAAAACTGGCGTGACGTGGTGCTTCTCGTGCGTGTTTACAATCCTCGTGTGTGGTTTGGTGCATTTTGTTCCTGATCGTCTCAATTGTAGCTGTGTTCATGAGCCCCTTGTAAAAAGCAGGAGTGAAAGATAACTTCAGCACAATGCAGACTTAGTGATAGAGAGTTCTCTCTGGAAAGGTGAGTAGGCAGGCATCTCTTTTTTCTTTTTTTGAGGTGGGGAATTAGGTACAGTGTTTTAATGCAGTCTTGCAGACAGAGAAAATCTTTTGTAGCTTACAAACATTTTCCCCCCAATATTTCCACCCTCCCTCGTGCTACATGAATGTATTTGTGTCATCTAGATGGTAAAAGAAGCAAAATATATGCTCTTAATTACCAGACAGTTATAAACTGATGGCACCCCAGACGAATGGCTTTCTGCAAGTCTGCATTAAGCTTAGGTCTACATGAAGGCAAATCATGGTTTTGACATTTTTAATAAAAGATCCAAACTGGCTTCTTTCCCTCCTTTATTACCAGTTGATTTCAAGGGGTTGATTTTCACCTTAAGATGATATTTCTAAGCATGAATCTTTTTGTCAGTTTCCCACCCCAACTTTTGTAATTTTGTATTAAATGCCAAAAACATGAGTAAGGTGAGGAGTAACAGTCCTCTTGCCTCATGTGGACCTACAGATGGAGATAAGTTGTTAAAAGGAATGTGTTTAGACGCAGGTGCAGAATCATAAGTCAACAGAGCACCACCACACTTATCATCTTTGGGTTAATTCATTTTTTTGATATTCATAACAACCAAGCACAGAGCAACTAATTTCTCTCTAGTTGTCCCGGCAAATTTGGTTGATTGAATATTTAGCCAACCAGCGGTTGCTTCATGCTTGCATATTGCTATGGCCTAAAAAAATGAACAGCTTGCCAAACGACCAAGCATGTGGGGCTGTAGGAATGTGGCCTCAGACTCAATTTGATGTGCATTACATTTCTCATAAGTCACAGGCATCACACGTTTGGTGCAAAAGGTTTACTGTACCTGTTTCTTTAGGACAGCTGTCTGAAGTTTATCTTCTTGTACTTTCTTGTCATTTACCCATTTCCCTTCTGTTTTCTCTTCTACCTTTGCCCCTTTTAGCTTTTTCTCTGGCAAAACACTTCTTTTCTCTTCTAGCTGCTTCTTAATTTTCTGTTCTTCTATCTTAGCTTTCTCTTCTTCTGCCTTTGCCCTCTGCCTCTCCTCTGCTGCTCTTCTCTCTTCCTCCTTAATTCTTTCCCTCTCCTCTGCCTCCCTTCTTTTCCTCTCCTCTGCCTCCTTTCTTTTCCTCTCCTCTGCCTCCCTTCTTTCCCTCTCCTCTGCCTCTCTTCTTTCCCTCTCCTCTGCCTCTCTTCTTTCCCTCTCCTCTGCCTCTCTTCTTTCCCTCTCCTCTGCCTCTCTTCTTTCCCTCTCCTCTGCCTCCCTTCTTTCTCTCTCTTGTGCAGCTGCGTTTTCTTCTGCTTCCATCCTTGCTTTCTCCTCTGCTATCTTTTGGTCTTGCTCAGCTTTAATTCTTTCTCTTTCTTCGGCTTCCAACCTGGCCCTCTCTGCCTCAGCTCTTTCCCTTTCTGCCTCTTCCACTTTTTCATGATGGGTAGTCTCATCTGAACCTTGTTCCCTCTCCTCCTCTATTTTAGGCTCTTCTGCACTGATCTGCCCATTTTTCAATGACATTACCACGGTTTCCTCTTGGGTTTCTGTTGTTTTCTCTTCTACCCTCACCTCTACCTGATTTTCTTCAACGCTCCCTTGCTTTGGCTTCTCTTCTTCCTCTTCCTCCTTTTCTTTTTCTTCTTTCTTTTTTTCTTCAGCATCCCTCCAATCATTCTTCTGGTAGGACTTTGTGACTATTTCAGTTTCTTCTATCTCATATCTTTCTCGGCGACTTTCACTTTTTTCTTCCTTCCCTGCAGTTTCATTTTCTGCCGTGTTGTTTTGCATTCTTCTGCTTGGTAGAGACGAACTTGCATCTGTTACTGTTGGGTCGAACTCCTTCTGCCGCTCCAGCGCTTCCTGAAGGCGTTTTTGGCGTCTCTCCTCCCGCCGAGCCAGGCGCTCCAGAAGTACAGCCTCATCATCGCCCTCCACCTGAGTGTTTGTGGTGGTTGTCTTGACCTCCTCATCAGGCACACTGTACAACAGAAACAACAACACCAAAGACAGCTTGCTGATAAATCGGTCATGTAGCCTGATCCACACTGGAACTAGAGCAGATGCTGGTAGCACCATGCCCATGTGTATCCCCACGGACGTTACATATTAGTACATGCCTGCCTGGCTTTCAACTGACAGCATAGGCAAGTCTTTGCCCTTGGTCTTTCTCTGGCCACTGGAGTCTACTCTACATTCCAGAGTGCTTTGAATTTAATGTCCCATGGGAACAGCCCTCAAACAAAAATTGATGAGCATTGGTGTATAAATACCTCAGCTCCCCTCCCCTTTTGAGTTGGATAACTGAGGTGCCTGTGCCACACTGGATCTTAGAGTTCCCCAGTGGAGTTAAGCTCCAGATTCCCACAGTTGTAACTTGCTTGGTAATGAAACCTTTATTTGGTTGCCTTCTCTTCCCTGTCTCACTTCCCCACGCCACTACCAGTGTTTCCTGGGATCACTTTACAAATAAACTACTTGCACTCAAATCTTTGTTTCAGAATCTGCTTCTTGAGGGACTCTAACTAAGACAAGGACCAAACTGAAATAATGAGTGAATTCCTCTATTATCATACAGTATTTTCACACATCACCAAGTCATCTAGAATTCTTGAGCTGGGTTTGTGGAACACAAAGTACTTTGAGAGGAAAGGAGTGTACGTTATAGTGTACATTGTAGTGTAGAGGTGCTATACTCACACAATGACCCCCATTGTAGAGACATCTAACTGTCCACCACAATTCATGCTCCTCCTTTCATACTCACAGGGATGTGATTGCCAGTCAAGGATTGTATTTCCTACCTTTCCCTCTTCCTTGCATCTGGGTGGAGCCAGGTGACCAATTATTTCCAACCGAATGTAAGCAGAAGTGATGTGTCCAGACCAAGCCAATTAAGAAGCGGAGGTACGTTCTCTAACCTCTCTATCTTTATCTGCTGTCTAGATCAGAGGACTCTAAAGGCCCAGGCGTTGACAGAGCCATAAGAGGAAAGAAAGCAGGTGACCAGTTCTACCTACTAGTCAGAAATACCCACACTGGACTGGTATGTCTTATTGAATTAAACTACTAAAAAATGGGGGCTCATTGTTATAGCAGCCAGCATTATGCTAACTAATATGTATGTATACCATCTACACTCTTTGCCAAGATTTCCACGAATAAAGGGTCTCTTGCCCTTCTTTTCTATAGTAGATAAAGAACAGTTAAATTTGATGTTTATTAAAAAAGAAAAGAAAATCTCCAAAAACCAAACAGTCCCATGTCCATCACCTCACTCACTATTGCAGGATGCTGGACACTGCCCAAGCCAGGGGTGTGGGTCTCCACTGATAGGAAACAACCAGTCATGTGATACCAGGAACTGTGACTGGACTTGGAAGACTATGTCTTGCAATGTTTAGAAACTCCATCAAATTTCATGGTTCAGACTGAACTTGGCCCTTTTGAAGTTCAAGTTCACTTAATTTTGGAAAAACACGTTTCACATTTAACAACAAGAAATGGCAGAGTAAAGGCTAGATTTTAAACTTTCTTGGCCTTAGCTGTTGCTGTAGGACACTGTTTCCATGAATTAGACATAAAAGGATTAAATTTCCCTGAAAATATAAATAGTTTAGAATTTAAGGAGAACACTCTATACATAAGGCATTTAGATCAAATGAATTCAAATAATTTTTAAAAGGTACCCAAAATTCCAAAGTGCTAGTCAGATGAAAGTTTCTTGAGTTAAGAAACCAAGAGACTATACTAAACCTTTCTTTGCATATTTATAAACTATGACAGCAATCATCAGTAGAAGTTAAGTACCAGTTAGGGTTGTTTACCCCCAAGAACATTTACTCTTCTTGTGGCTAACTAATGTCAGAAGTAAATCACATATTCTCAGATTCGAATATGTTTTATTGAAAAAAAAAGAATTTTGTATTCAATCAGCAGCATCAAATAACTAATAATAATAAAATGTGAAAAAAGAAGAGAAACACAAGTAGCAGCAAGATTTTAAAAGCAAGAAAACTAGTAACTTTTTAAGCCATTGTTGATCAATCACTAATAACCAAATTCAGGAAAGGCCTCAAAAGGCCATTTTAAAACTCTTTCTTTGCCTTCCATCTCAGCTCAAAAATAGGAAAGGCAGTGAATGACTGTGCAGCCTTCCTCTGTAAGAGTCTGACACCATCCTCCTAATAACAGTTAGAATTAGGTCCTTACTATGTGCAAGGCACTGTGCATTTTACATGTATTATTATCTCATTTAAATTTAACAACATTCCTAAGAAAAAGGTATAATTTTTATTACAGTTAGTGAATTTTAATACAGTTAGTGAAAGGCCAAGTTGGGATTCAAAGCCAGGTAGTGAACCCCAGAGAACATACCTCCCCCTCCTTCACTATACATCCTCCTTAATTAGGAGCTACTTACCAAGGGACAAGGTCTCTATTTCTCCCCCAAACCAATAAGCTTCCTTATTAAATTCATCCTGCCTGCCAGCATTTTCAAGTCTGCTTCCAGGAACCCTCTGTGTACCCACTCAAATTTGGATTAAAAAGGCCAGAACTCTTTCTCTTCAGAATTTTCTAGATAGATTGAATTAAAGGAACTATCAACAATGCCTTCCCAACACACACAAAATAAAACAGACTAAAACCAAAACTACACACAAGATCTTATATGGTGGTTTCATTATATTTAATTAGTAAATTAAAATTAATTTTTTCTCCATTTTTTCTCTCAAAATATCCTCATTTAAGATTGGCAACATATGTTAGCTCAGGGCCAATCTTCCTTAAAAAAAAAAAATCCTCATCTTTTCTGCACCTTGGGGCATATAAATGATGTATACTAACCATTAGCACAATGCACTGTGTGACTGTGTATGTGTGAACTTGTAAAAGCCCTTTTGAAAGACTTGAACCTATTAAGTGTTCTTTCCTGATTTTTATCAGGGCCTGTATAGGAAAAAGTGTAGGAGTAAACTTATAAGCTTATTTGAATAATTACATTAAATTAAACAGGAATCTGCACCTTGCTGATTATTGTAGTGATCAGGGAGTATTTTTTTTTTATAATTTTATTTATTTATTTATTTTTTCCCCCAAAGCCCCAGTAGATAGTTGTACGTCATAGCTGCACATCCTTCTAGTTGGTGTATGTGGGACGCCGCCTCAGCATGGCCAGAGAAGCGGTGTGTCAGTGCGCGCCCAGGATCTGAACCCGGGCCGCCAGCAGTGGAGCATGCGCACTTAACCGGTAAGCCATGGCGCCAGCCCAGGGAGTATTGATTTAGGCTGTATTTCAGGAAAAATAAGACATTTGCAATTCATGCCTATTTTTAAAATTCAAGTATTATCTGCTACTGGTAGGCACAGAGGACTATCAAACTAATAAATCTTCAATTCAAAACAGATAGCAATACCCTAAAGAACGAATGTAAAGAGTTTTCCTCATTTAAAGATATAATCTACCATATTTAGTAAATAAAAAAATTACTAGATTATAAAATAGAATAAAATCCTTCAATTGGTGTGTACTTAGGAAGTGGGATGGGGCGAGAGAAAGAGTAATGGTGTCCTAATGTCTAAATCAGTTTGACTGTCCAATCTGGTTAGTTGCCTAAAATGGCCACAAAATAATTAAACAAGTTAGATTGACTGAAAGAGTTGAGTTGGACTAAGAAGGGAATGCTCTGCACAACACATTCCATTCATCAGATGGGCTAAGAAGCAACGAAGAAATGCTCTCCATTCTGAAGAAGACAGTACCTGTTCTGGGCATTAACCTCCACCTGGTCAGTCACCTGCCCCAAGGATTCTTCCTCTTGCTTCTGCCGCAGCCTTTCCTGCCGGGCTCGGCGGCGCCGTTCCCGGGCGGCCTCTTCCTCATCATCGTCGTTCCTCTGGTAGGCGATTCTGCAACATCACAAAGACAACCTTTTTTTTTTTTTTTTAAAATTTTTTTTATTCATTTTTTTCCCCCCAAAGCCCCAGTAGATAGTTGTATGTCATAGGTTCACATCCTTCTAGTTGCTGTACGTGGGACTCGGCCTCGGGTTGGACAGAGAAGTGGTGCCTTGGGGCGTGCCCGGGATCCGAACCCAGGCCGCCAGCATCAGAGCGCACGCACTTAACCGCTAAGCCACAGAGCCGGCCCCCAAAGACAACCTCTTGAGCATGCCAACTGCCAATATCTTCACCAGCTGCTTGGCAGGATCAGCCCCAAGTCCTTTTCTGAACTTGACTGTTTACTGAACCACAAAGTTCTAAAAGGATGTTCCATTCCCTAAGTTGAGAGATCTGATCTAACTAGTTTTCAAACTTTTAAGTATCTGAAAAGCATTAGTCCAAAAGCTACAGAGGATAATTTACAAAGATCAAATAACAGCTTAAATGAAAAAAATCTACACAAAAGCAGGCTGCCTTTGGAGTCCGTGCATTCGCATGCTTAGATTTCTTTACTAAGCTGATTACTAGCCTGTAAGATTTAGAAGCAGAAATCCAAAGCATTGAACTAAAAATAATCGAAACACTTATTAAAGGGATTCAGCATGTTGTATGAATTATTTGTGTAGACATTGTCACAAAGGTCAGAAAAGAATCAAATTACCAAACCAGGACTTTGGTGTTAATAAGCCAAATCGCTAATTAAAACCAAGAGCAGGATATCCTCTTTGCTTGGATTTTATTTTTTTCCTTTTAGTTCCTTTTCCCTGGAGAGATAAGGTGTTATGGACAACTGACAGGAGGCTTCAGTCAGTGCAGCCCCCTCTAAGGGCCCCCTCTTTTGTTCCAAAATATGCTTTAGTATCCTACCACCCGCATCCTGGGCACTTCACGGTTGCCCACAGGGGTATATTTAGATAGAAACCTACGGGCTAAGGCACGTACAAGAGGCACAGAGGGCTTCACACGCACATATGTTATTTAGCTTTTGTAGTTTCATCTGAAACAAATGTCTATTTAGGGAAATGATACAATCAATATGTTTCGCCTAATACTTATTCCTCAACAAAGAATTTGAGCTGGGAACTACAGATGCCCAAACTCAAGAGGAAATGGCCCACATGCTTAACTTGGCTACTTTGAAGGAGTAATGTGCATGGAGATACAGAGTGCCAAGAAGGCATGGGTAGAGCCGGCTGGCCCAGGGACAAGCTGGACTGATGATGGGTCCATGGGTTGGGATGGAGCTTCATTATGCAGCGGGCTGCTTTTTACATTACGGAGTTAAAGTGTTTTTAGTACAATGTTACTTACATATCCACAAATAGAAATCCAGATATGTAAACATTTCATGTTTACAATTTCTATATAATGACAAAACTAAAATAATTTACAAATAAAGAAAACAAAACAGCAGAACCATACTATTTATACCAATAATACGAACCCAATATGACTGAGGATAGTTTGCTCATGTTAGATTTACAAACCAGATATTTTTAGGCTTAGATCCAGTACTTTATTTCATCTGTTTCTATCTTTTGACTTCAAAAATACTAATGTTATGAATGTTTTTTCACCTAGGTATCTTATAAAAAACAAGATGAACAATTCTGAAGCTTGGTTGGTTTGTTCTTTGCTACTTTAGAAAATCTGACTTCACACTTACTAAAATCTGCTAGTGTGCAATACTCAAATGCCAATATAAATAAAATGTCACTTACTAATTCTATAAAACTGACTGGTTTATTTCTACAAACATGGAGAGAAGGGCAGTGTAACATAGTTAAAGGATGACTAGGTTAGTACTCAGAAGTGGTCTGAATACTAGTTTCTAGAACTGGTCTCTTACTAGCTTGTAGCCCTTTGATTAACTTGAGTTAAATTTCCTTTTCTCTTAAGTGTGTGACAATCAAATGAAATCACAGATATGTTTTGGTAAGTCACTCCACAGTGTAATATTTTGTTGTTATTAAGAAAGTTCAGTTGAGGAGTTGCTTTGTGAGAAAAGATGAGTTCAATTTTAGACTTTTTGAATTTGAGGTGACAGCATGACATGATTCGAATGTTCCTTTCTAATTCAATCACATTGTAGTTTGCAGTCAAAGCCGTTCCCAGTGGCTTGGCTTCAATCTTCAGATTCTTGGCCTAATATTCCTTTGGCTTATTTCTCAGTAGACAGCTTTAACCACAGAGGGAGAATGAGTCCTTAATGACTGCTTCCAAAGCTAATCAAACAGAAAGTCTTAATTTGCTCTTCTACATCTCTGGATCAATCATGAGATCTTGGCTATTACTTGGGGCCTTCTTTTTCCAAAACAAGCAAGAGACATAAAAGCTCCATATGGGACATCCTATGCTAACAACAAAATTCCCCCCTCTCCTAAATGGAATCTCATTTGAAACCCTTAATTTCCCACTAGAACAATTTGAGATGTTACTGTCCACCTCCACCCACCTACTCAATGTGATTCATGGGTGGATGTTGTTGGCTTTTTGCTCCCACATGAACTAGATTTGCCATTTGGTCAGGTCACGCACAGCCGTTCTTCCTCTTAGATTTCTCATTGGCGGAGTGGCCTGAACAACCAGATCATCTCCACAGTGTCTTCTAACTCTTCTCACTTGGTATAGCTTAAACTTCAGACAATCGCTCTCCATCAGTAGCCTGGGAGACACAGCTACCAGAACTAGATTTTTAAGGATCTTTTATTACTACTAATAAAGAAACATATTAAAATTGTTTTCAAAGTTAAGAACGAAGAAAGAGCCAAAACGGCTTCATGCTATTTCGAATCATAATGTGCCCAGTTGCTGGCTCAATAACATATCAGTTGACTTTATAAGTGAAATTGTGTCTATGTCAAATGACTTGATATATGTGGAAGTTCTTCCAATGTCAGACTCCCTCCATTAGCCCTTGGTGTGCAAGCAAACAGTAGTTTCTTAGCTTTTAGGTCTCTCACAGCAACCTACCCTTCACACTACTACCACAGGTTTATTTTTTTTCTTTCATAACTAAAGAAACTTAATTGTTTATTTTTTTTCTGATTCTAAAAGTAACATACACTTATTATTTTCTTAAACCAGATAATACAATACATATAAAAGAGGAAGTAAAAATCAGCTCCCTAATCACACCACTCAGACATAAACATAATTAATATGTGACGTGTTCTACCAGACATTTTCCTATGCATGCACAGATATTTTTATTTTTAACAGAGTGGGATCATGCTATATGTAATTTTATAAACAGTTTCTTTAATTTACCTTATTTATGACTATTTTTAACACATTGGCCCAATATAATTTTCAACAACAACGCAGTATTCTATCTATGGATGTACATAGTAATTTATGGATATACTATAATCTAACTAGTTTTCTACTGGTGGACAGTTAAGATTTTTCCAACTTTATGTTCTTATAAATAATGCTGCAAAGGATATCATTATAGATATACTTCTACTAATTGTTCAATTATTTATCTAGGAGAAATTTTCAGAACTTAGAATTTCTGAGTTTGAGTATGCTCATTTTAAAGGCTTTTGATATACATTGACAAATTGCCCTCCAGAAAGGTATATAACACCAGCAATATATGTGAGTGCTACTTTCACCATAAGCAGAATTTATCCAAAAGAACAGACGAGTACATAGCATCCTTAATACATCCAAATGATAGGGTAGCAACTCTGCTTTATGCCTCAAAGACAAAATGTTAACATTTCTGATTTTCCATATGCCAGATTTAAATGTATTTGAAATGCTGCTGACTAGTAAATATCATACCTAACCACCCACTGGATTGCAATAAAAGCATAACAACCCATTTGTGCCTTCTGTGAAAGTTTAGCAGATGCCAGCATTAACCAGTCTACTGGTATTCTATACTACAAAGACAATTGATGTTCCCAGATGATTCAGAAGCAGTGTGGGACTTGAAGTTCCTCTGAATCATCTGAGAAAGATTAAACTATGTTTATTAGAGTTTTAATCAAATGCATTTTATTTTTTTAAAAATTAGTAATCCCAAATGATATGTAAAGCACTTCTCTATTAAATAAAATGTTTGATTGACCAGAATCCATGACTTTCCTACCCATGCTTGGTGTAAACAGTTTTACTATGGAGTATTATGCTTTGTTTCTTGGTAACTGCCTTTGCTCATCTCTTGGAGAACACTTAGAGAAAGGTAGGATGGACTTTATTGCAGGAGGCCAGTGCTGCTGGCAGCAAAATGGCTCATCAAATATTTGGGAGAAAGAGAGATGGTCTATTGTGTGTGTGTGTGTGTGTGTGTGTGTGTGTGTGTGTGTGAATAAGTGTTAAATAACCTCAAAAGTCCATAACAATTACATGATGTTATTTGATTGGGACAGTGGTATGAAAAAAGTAGAGAGAACTGGCTTTTCTTCCATTCCCAGAACCACTGCTTAAAGGCTCTGGTGTTCTATTCTAAGAAAAAACAGATCTATGCAATGGGAAAATTCTCTTGGAATGCTGTGGCTTTCACACCAAAGACATTTTAAGTCTTTACCACCAGAGCACTACAGCCTCAGTATATTCAAGTTAACAAGATAATCATGCTACATGCTGTGCCTTGGGGATAGAAAATTCAAATACATAGAAGTATTGCAGATATGACAAATGAAGAATCAGTGTCTCTACATTTGGATGGGCCCGGGTCTAAATGTAGACTAGAAGAGAGAGGGAGGAAGCGGCAGAATCTTCTATAGTAAGATACTGGAGCAAGGCACTAGTTGTCATCTTGCCTCAGTGTCCTCCTCACCTCATCTTCCCATCAAATATTTCTCAAGACTTGCACAACACTGGCAAAATTCTTATTATCATCTCATCTACAATACAGGTTGTTTTGTTTTGACCCCCTGTTCCCCATGGTTTGAAGAATGTTGCTTTTATTTCCCTTCATTTTATCTTTTTCCCATTTTGCTATTTTCTGATTT